CCAGCAGGTGTGTTAAGGCAAGTTGGAGCTAAACTCTGCAGGACACCGGCCCTCCAGGACCGAGTTTGGACACCTTTTGTCTAGCCTGTAGAGGTCTGTGCGTCCCTCCATGGATATGCCTCCCCACTGACCCACCACCAAACCGGTCATGCTGAACGATGTTACAGGTAGCATAACGTTCTCCACGGCTTCTCCAGACCCTTTCACGTCTATCACACAGGGCCGTCGCTATCAATTCTGGGCCCTGTGCACTGAATTTGCTATGGGGCCCCCTCAAAATCACGTTGTTGTCGAGGGTGGCCTTTAATGTTCTCATATCACATGACTGTATAACAATTCTGTGTCACATCTGAATGGATCAAGCGACTTGTGCTGTTTATCACTTGTAAATCGTGGCAGAAGTGCGGCACACGTTCGTCAGCGCTGTGCGGGAGACTGATCCCGCTCTGCTTTAACGCGCGGCTGGCGGATGCATCAGGTTGCGCTGCTTCGCACTTTTGGAGTATTTTCTTTATGCGGTTTAGCATGCGCTGTAATTTAAAAACAGTGTCTAATATCAGGGAGGTCTCCCTCGTTTCGGCGATCGGCCCACTACTTGAATGGAATGTCCCGGTGCTCCCGATGGAAACAGCGTGAATGTACTGAAATGTGTCTGTGCATGAATACAACATATGATCTGTGCGTGATGAGCGCTCAAACACGGTGTATCAGACTCACGCGTGTTTACGACTCCTGTACATCACCGCAATCGTCTTTACCTTGATTGCAATCCTCAATCATCAAAACTCAAACATCAAAAGAAGCTGATTATCTTTATCCAGCCGAGAAAACGTAGTTTGCATGTCATACAGTGGTGGGATGTTTTGACGTTACGTTCATGCGTGAGTGAGCTCTCGCACTCTTCAGAAACAATCACAGAGCTTGTGTTTTAAAGTGAAACACACTGAAATGAATAATTAACTGAAAACGCAACGTATCAGTTCTCTCCCCCATCTCTTATGTAATCAGCCTGGTTTTCTTTACATTAGCCCTGTTTTGGACTGATTGCTTGAATGGAGTTGCTTGCTGGATCACTGGACTGAAAACGTTCCTGGAGTTTAGTAGCTTAAAATGATCTGATTGCAAACGGAGAAGCAAAATCGGGAAAAAAGGTTTAGAATAGAAATTGTATTTCAGTAATTTTGTGTTAATTGCGTAAAATTACTTTAACGCGTTAAGGGTTTTGAATTAATCGCATCCCAGATAGCAACAAAATCTGGGCGAGATCTGGCTTACTTTAGGCCCTTCTGGTTCAATTCTGGCACAGTTTTTTTTCACAGTCTTGTGTGAAACAGCAATGAGGCTGAGCTCTAGCATGAGTTTGGCCAACCAAAAGAAATAAAAAGCAAATGGCTTTTTTGGCTGAGTCTTGTCTGGAGTTTGGTCCACCAGAAAAAGAAAATAGTCTGCTGCAAACCTGGGTGGGTTTTGGTTAGCCAAAGAGTAAAGAAACAGCTTTATAGCCAAATAAATCTTGTTAAGTGGTTCATTTGTATGTCGTACATCAATAAAAAGTAAATTTGGTCAAAAACAATTTAAATAATGAAAATGTGCTTGATGTAGTTAAAATTATTGAATGGAAGCCACACAGCCCTTTAACTCAAGTAATTCGAAGGCTGTCTGAAATGGAAGCTGTACACGCAAACAGCAGTACTGAAGTTCAGGGATTGAAATCACAGGCAAAATTCATGCACACAGATGGGCCAGTACCACGGTTGTTTGATGGAACTGTTGAGCAGTTCAGAGAGTTAATTAGGGATGGTGTGGTCATTAAAACTTCAAAAGGTGATAATTGTATTGAGGTTAATAATGTTGTTCTGGTACAAAACATTATTTTGTTTAAAGGGAGCGAGTTTGTCGTTTATAAAGGGTACACCAAGAAAGAAACTTTATTTGACTACCCAATAGATTCTCAGGAATTAGGAATTTTTGTTGTTTCAGACCTGTCAATGGAGCTAAAATGTTCAAGGCTTAGACAAAATATACACAAGTATGTTGGCCCTTGAGGGACAGGGCAGGTTTGTTGTTTTTCCCCTTCTACATTTAAAGTGAAGTTTTTTTTTTATTTGATTTTTTCTTTTGCAAGAATTTGTTCTACTTTGTTCTACGCTGGGACACAAGTTTGTTTGTTAGTTCTACGCTCTACACAAGTATGACTCACCTAGACTCGTTTGTTTTCTGTGTTTGTCTTTATATTACCTTCATCTATTATTA